GTTGCGGAAAGCTTTGTGATTGATATGGCTTTAAAACCGGTTATGTTGTCCATTGTTGATCCACGACAGTTTGGATTTATCCCAGGTTCATCGACAACTATGGCACTAATCGATATGTTTCATCATTGGTTATCTGCCACTGATGGGACATCGTCCACAATAAGAACTGTCTTCTTAGATTTTCGGAAAGCCTTTGACCTAGTAGACCATCATATACTGATCGCTAAACTATTCAGCATAGGAGTAAAGCCAACCATCGTTAATTAGATTGTTGATTTCTTACGTCATCGGCAGCAGAGGGTTAAATATGATGGTACTTTTTCCAACTGGGTTGATGTCCACGCTGGAGTTCCCCAGGATACTCGTCTTGGTCCATGGCTCTTTCTTATTCTAATTAACGATCTACGATTACCAGATCAGATCTCCCAAATGTGGAAGTTCGCTGACGATATCACATTATCCGAAGTGATTACCCAATCTAATGAAAGTTCCATTCAGGACGCTGTTGATTATGTTAACTTGTGGTCTAAAGAGAACCATCTACAACTTAAACCTACCAAATGTAAAGAAATCCAATCATGTTTTAAGAGAATCCCTCCATCTTTCGTTCCAATTGAGATAGATGGAAAAATTTGATAAAGTTAGTGCTGCAAGACTTCTCGGTGTTACTATTCGTGACGATTTTAAGTGGATAGATCATGTTAAAACCATAACTGCCAAGGCCTCAAAGCGCCTATATCTCTTAAGACAACTTAAAAGAGCGGGACTCAGTGTTGATGATATGAAAGCCTTTTATTGTAGTGTTGTCCGATCAGTACTGGAATATTGCTGTTAATTGTTTCATAGAAATCTCCCCAATTACCTCTCGAATGATCTTGAACGCATTCAGAAGCGTGCATTGCGGATTATTTTCCCTCATCAAAGTTATAATGAAGCACTGAAAGAGGCATTTATTCCCACCCTCTTTGACAGGCGAGAAATGCTATCACAAAGTCTTTTTAAAGATATTGTTGTCAATGGAAACCATAAACTTGCTGGTTTACTTCCCCCTCGTAATAGCTGTAATGGTTTTCTGAGAAATAATAGAACTTTTAACACGCCACAATGCCGGACAGATCGTTTCAAAAACTCTTTTATATAAATGAGTTTTAGTACTGAAGCAAATTTTGCTAATTGATAACAAGTTGTATATATGTATTGTTTTCAATTTTAAATGATTGTATATATCTAATCTAAAGAACACATAATGAAACGATTTACGTGCGTGATTGATGATGGACTCTTCTTCATCTGTGATATTTATCATTGTCTTCGCCCAAGAAATTGCCCTTTTCAATAGTTCTTCTGAAATCGATGGGTAGAATTCATTGATGTCGAAAGATAGGAATGAATGATCGCATTTGTTTCTTATTTCCTTGAACCATTTTAGAACCGCTTGTGTATTCTTCCACTGCTTTACACCCGTAGCTCTTACATCCACCTTATAGTAAGAATGTGAAAACGAATGTAGCACAAAGGTTCCTTCGCTTAATTGATAAGCATTTCCCAAAGTCATCGCATTTCCATAAAATTTTCAACCGGAACACGGTCAAAGTGAGTTACTCTTGTATGAACAATGTTAAAACCTCAATCTCCAACCACAATCATAGAATCCTTAAACATCAAAGCAACTCCCAATGTTCTTTGAAATCATGCAACTGCAGAGTTAAGGAGGAATGCCTAATGAACGGTAATTGTCTCGTGAAAAGCATTGTGTACAAAGCGGAAGTTAGCTCGGATAATGGAGAAGTTGTCAAGCATTATATTGGTATAACATCAGGTAGCTTCAAACTCAGATACAGCAACCACTTAAAGTCTTTTAACCGCGAACGCTACTCTGGAGAAACGGAGCTCTCGAAGTATGTTTGGGGGCTCAAGTCGCAAGATAAACCATTTGGGATAAAATGGTCATTCCCGCCGCATGTCCAGAAATGAAAGTTTGTAATTTATGCACCGAGGAAAAAAGATTAATCATGCTATCAGACAAAAACAAATCGTTGAACAAAAGGACAGAACTGTTTAGTAAATGCCGGCAAAGATATGGTTTTAAGGTTTGTAATGTTAAGCGCACGCAAACATGCACGTTAAAACTCTCGCGTAATCAATCAAAAACACGTGCGCGTAAACCGTTGTAAATAGTTATCGCCTGAGGATCGTACTAAAACTAGTACGTGAAACACAGTGTAGCGATGAAATACCATTTTATGATTATATTTTGTTGATTTGATTGTGTTTTTGCTCTACTATTTACTTGTATTGAGCACTCTGGTTCAGCACAAATCCAAGATTATATATATATATATCATATATGTATATATATATATATATATATAATTATATATATATATATATATAGATATATATATATATATCTACTTAATTATATAGATATATATATCTATCTACTTAATTCGCTCTACTATAACATCTTATAGTATTGAGCACTCTTTTGTCTTTTCGAACAACAAGATTATAGTTTCTCGAATTTTTTTTGGGCTCATTTTAAACAGGGATATTAAGCACCTAAATATTTCACTATAAGGCTAAAAGTTAATACACTTTGCAGGAAACATATCTAGAGCGGAAATATTCTCAGAACTTTTGCCTGGCACCCGTTACCATGGCAACTGAGACGTTTCAAAATGGCCACCAAACAGGGTTTTATCGTGCATTGCATTTAACGTTTACGCTATAGATTATTTATCTACGAAAAAGTTTTAAAAAAATTTTAACATGGGGGAATTTTTTAATAAGCAAAAATAACGTTTTTGTAAATAGAAAAAATTCCCCATGTTAGAATTTTTTTAAAACTTTTTTATAGATAAAACATTTATGGCGTAAACGTTTAATGAAAAAAAAATGGGGGTCACCGAACTCGTTTGTGATATAAACATGATTAAACCCTGTTTGGCGGCCATTTTGAAACGTCTCAGTTGCCATGGTAACGGGTGCCAGGCAAAAGTTCTGAGAATATTTCCGCTCTAGATATGTTTCCTGCAAAGTGTATTAACTTTTAGCCTTATAGTGAAATATTTAGGTGCTTAATATCCCTGTTTAAAAAGTGCATCTAAAAATTTCGAAAAATTGTATCGAGCCACTTTAAGCTTTCCGATTGGCTGGTGAAGAAAAATATTGATTTCTTATTGGTTTGCTCCACTTGACTTAAAGGAAAAAATATATCCTTCTCAAGTAAATAAGGAATATTGAAAAATTTGTTAGGAAATTGACGCTACAAATAGCGAATATGTCGAATAGCTTTCAGTTGTCGTCTTGTCGCAGCCTCGTACCCAGGTGCTTTAATAGTAAGATATATAACGTTGCATTTAGGTCTTATATAGAGGTCAGCAGAAAAAACCAAGCGCGCAGGGGTGCTTGGGGTGTTTTTTTTGCGAGAAAGCGCCTGGCAGAAAATGACCGATTTCTGGCAAATCGTGACCGATTTCTGGAAAACGCTTGTATTTTGCAGTTTATATTTTCATTATAAAATTATATAATTTTTTTACTGGATGGACTGCCGATAGGCTAGCCAAGTATTATGAACGCTTCCTTTGGCGAAGAATCATCTGAAGGTACTTTTATTTAAATATTTTCTGTCGGAGTGACTATATTCGTAGAGTACTCGAATAATCGCATGCCGTATTTACATATTACTACTGAGATAAACTCATATTCCTTTATTTACAGGTTTAATAATCCGATGATGATTCAACGCGACATGGCAACAGCTTGAATTTAAAAGTAAATTGATTCCATACGTGATACTTATTGGATATAATTTGTAACATGAAATGTTCTATATTAATCAACCTATAACATTAAAAACTGGTGTATCTGTAAAAACCTGGATCTAATTCAAGTAATTATAGTATATAATTATATTGTATTATATTGTATAATTCATTTGATTGTTTACATGTTGAATTCATTTTCTGCCAGGCACTAAATTTGGCAAAACCACCCCAAGCACCCTCGCGCGATCGCGTTTTTTTTTAGCTGACCTCTATACAATAACTGAAAGCAACATTATTTTTTACTATTAAAGCGCCTGGGTACGAGGCTGGTCTTGTCGAGTAATATGGATAATTCCGTTACCTCGTGTCCTCGTCAAAATGAAAAATCTACTGAGATAAGGTAAAGATTCATGTCGATATTCATATAAACAATACTCCTATAATTTCGTATAAACTATAGTCCTATAATTTGCTAAGTTAACTGTATATTTGAACGTGGTTCTGTATTAGCATATATTTCCATTCGCCCGTCGTCGTTCGGTCATAAGGTCGATTATTATATTGTTTATTTGTATCAAATATCAACCAAGATTTACTGTATGAATTTACGTCTAACAAACAGCCAATGCATCATACTAGATCCAGGCGCGTAAAGAAGATTTATATATTTGTGAAATCATGTAATCCATGTTTATGTCAAACAGTACAACGTAATCATGTTACCCACCAAACTAACATGGCAATTATAGCATTGTAAACAATATTGCCCTACTGTGACTCTTACTGAAAAGTGTTAGCGGCATTAGCCACTCAATATTTGGCATGAAGCATAGCTTGGAGCAATACTAGTTTATGCTGTAACAGTTATGAATATTCAGGCTTACAAATTGACCGCATTCATGTTTTTATTCCATGGATGTAATTTCCTATTATTGACCGTTATTTCAAGAAACATGTTCCTGCTACATGTTTCAAACATTTTTAATGCGTACTTTTCGCGCATGTTAATAATTTTTGAAATTTCATTATTCCGGGAGGGAGCAATTGACCCACTTCCCGTTTTGACCCACCCGGTCGATTGGGAATAGCGATATAATAAAGTTACATATATGTCCACCCCACTTATCGATGCTGGCCACTGCCCTGCTCACATGAATCCCCTGACGTTTGGGACTCGCAAGTCTGTCGTCAAGGTATAGTAAAGTATAATTTCATATATTTGTAACAAACCTAGCAACTCGTTCCAATCCTTTCTCGCTATCGCTTCGTTTGATATTTAGAAGTTTTGCCTGCTTCTCGGGTGTTGTTCCTCTTGGAGAACGCAAAGAAAAGGAAAACCTTTCTGCCTAAAAACATGATTTTATGTGAAATATACCAGAATATCCTGATCATTTATTATTATACAAGCGGAAAAAGGATAGATATCCCATTGTTGAACATGTAAAATACGTTCATTTTTTCTTCTATTTAATGTCAAATTTCCTAAATTATATACAACAATTTAACTGGTTCTGCACTGGCGCTAGCTTTACTTGATCGCAATAATCGCTATATATCGTATCCTTTATCTTAGAATAGAACAAGTCTGCATGTGCTTCTCTAAGTTCTGAATGGCTAACTGCTTTGACGTCATCAGACTTTCAAATAATATTAAACCAACGATTTACAACAATTTAAACAAATTTTACACTCTCGGTAATCGTTATGTAATATACGATTAATACAATTATTTAACGTTATTGTCTCTGTATCTCTCAGTTTCCTTACGGTTGTTCTGATTCGCAAGAAGTATTTTGCAGTCGACGCACTAGGCTCGGAAGTCTACGGTTCTACGATTACGGAGTAATTCTTCCCCTTTCGCTAAATTCCAAAATGATCGCGATGATTTGTCGTTCTTTAAAACGAAAGTCTCTCCCTCCTCGATCGGACACTTGAGGGTCGCATTCGAGGAACCCTTCGACGTCTCTCTCAAACTAGGAGATACTCCGTTCTCCATTGGGTCACAAATTGGTTTAGAAGCCTTTTGGGATACCGCTCTTGTCGAGTTAGGGATTGACTCGTACTGATTATTTCGAAATGCAGATCGTTTGGCGTTGTATCAATGTTTCGACCATAGATCAACTTTGCGGGTGTTAACGGGTATGACACTCCTTACTCATCATCATACACGTAAGTCATCGGACCATTATTTAATGTAGCCTCAACCTTGATCAATAAGGTGCGCATTTCTTCACACGACAATGACGCGCGACGAATGCCTTTTTTGAGACAGCGCTTGACACATCTTACCATTCACTCCCAAAAACCCCCTTGCCAGGGAGCCTTTTCCACGATGAAATCCCAAGTGGTTCCTTTGTTCGCGAAACACCGCTGAACTTCTGCAGACCTCACAATGCCTTTAACTTCCTTCGACGCCGCCTTAAATGATTTTGCGTTATCGGATAGTAGCTTTGTTGGTAATCTTCTTCGCGCGGTGAACCTTCTAAACGACTGTAAAAAGGTAGACACTGATAAATTAGGCACGAGTCCGAGATGCATGTCCTCGTTGACGCACACGTAACCAGACAAATGTATGACTTGTTCAGCTTTTGTTTCTTGACATTTTCATCTGCAGTTGTTAGATAACCGTGGTCCTGCGAAATCCATACAAGTGTGAGCAAAAGGTGGGTCATCGCTCACTCTACATGATGGTAACAGGGCGAACTTTGGTGTTTCGTGTTTCCTACATACAACACATACTACAATTACACGTTTGACGGCTTCTCGACCTCTTGGAACCCAATACCCTTCTCGAATGCAGTTATAAAATGTCGTGAAGGGTATAAAAATGTCGTGAAGGAAGAAGGGGCGCTTTGCCGTCATAGGTAATAATGATTAATCTATTCGCCCTTGGCATCGAATCGTGCCTTTTCCGTCTAAGAATAAATCCAACTGTCTCATGAGCTGCGGTTTTGTCGTCAGAACTGCTTGCAGATATAACCTTTCTTCCTTGAAATTGCAGGCTTGTATGACATCTACCCAAATTCTTTCAGCTGCTTTCAGTTCACTGGCAGTTATTGCAATTGGCACTGGTCGTCTCCTGGTCTTGTTACCGAGCTTCTTTAGTAACGCTGTTACTCGCTGTTTTTTTGTACTATCCCGGTTGCAATCCATGACGGCTCCTACGTTAGGTGGTGTGTTCGTTACATTGGTTAAAGTGTTGGCTCGGCCTTTGGTTTGGTGATTTCTGCGAATGCTTTCATTTCGTCACTCTGTGTAGGTCCTGGTTCACTCGGCTAAGACTCATCGGTACATCGAATAAACTCTGGACCGTCCCATTATGTCGTATTCTTCATTAACTCGACTCCACAATTCCCTCTCGATGTCAAGTCTGCTGGATTTTGTTCGCCTGGGAAAACCGCCAAGATTCCTTCTCGACAAGCCCACGTATCTCTTCGACACGATGATTGACGTAAGATTTATAAATCTTTCCGTTCCTCATCCAGCACAAAACTGTGTAAGAATCAGTACAAAATATTTCAGGAGCGGAGTGCAATGAAGTTAGCGCTTTCCGGACAGCGTTCATCAATTGAGCGAGGATATATGCCCCCAGTAATTCTGATCGAGGTATTGATTGTTTCTTAATTGGGGCCACTCTCGTCCTGGAGGCTACAAGATTAACTTCAATTTCTCCGTTGTGATGAACTGTGCAGCTGGTAAATTATCGGTTTCTCTTTGGTTTTTCGAAAGTAACATCGAGGTATGCCAATAAGTGCTGAGAGGTCTACGACAAATCCCTTCTAAGCCACTAACGCTTCTCCGTCTAACACATCGTCCCAATTAACGTCATGAACACACAAAGTTTGGAACAAAATTTTCATGCTGATCGTAAATGGAGTAAGAAATCCAAGTGGATCAAACACTTTAGCGGCGAGTTGTGGCACCGATCGTTTCGTAGGATTAAGTGTTGCTGCAAAGTTTACCAATACCGTTAGGTCATATTGAATTTCATCAGTTTCCACATTCCAATTCAGTCCTAGGAATTTAATAGAACATTCTAGTTTATCTCATCATCAGACTCTCATCTGCCTGGATTCGCTCGGACAAAACATCGTCGTTTGCTTCGTCTGAATTTCTCTCAGTTCGGTTTCTCCTTTCTTTCGAGTGTTGCTTACTCCCGAGGGGTTCCACGTTGTTAGACGGTTTCATTAATCTTATTGCATTCCGGTTCGCAGGCGATTCTTTTACGAAGGAATTGTCGAGTTAGAATTCCACTGTCGTAATTTAAACCCGCCAGAGGCCATAACGTCGTTCGCCTTTTCGTGTATCTCTATAGCCTGGTCGTCGTCCCACGCACCTCCGACCAAATCGTCAACATAGAACGAATCTTGCAACAATGAAACTAGTTCAGGCTCTTTCGTTTCATACGACGCTAAATGACGCTGTATAACCGAGTTCAAAATAGCTGGCTTGGAGTCAACCCAAATACTGGAAGACAAAACTGATATTCGACAATGGTCGGGCTGTTCCTTGTGCATATCGTCAAACCACAAGAACCACAACATTCGACGGTTGTCTGGATTCATCTCGACCTGCTGGAACGTCTTTTCCACATCGGCCACTATTCCTACAGGGTAACCTTGGAACTTTATAACGACGTCAAACAAGTGGGAAACTAAGTTCGGACCTTTTTCCAGGCAGTCGTTGAGGGATAAAGCTGTGCCGGCTGATGGTCGCTTAATCCAATATTCAGCACGCCTGATTGGATGACCCTTCTGAGAAGTGTAGATAAGGTCTATTACTTTACCAGATATTGGCCTAGTAGCTATATTAATAAGTTGTTCAAATTGGTACTGAGATGTTATTACATGAAGTGGCTGATAGCAACGTTTGTCTTGAAAGTTAGTGTTTAAGTCTCCTAAGATGATAATTTCTTTACGTTCGTTATCGGCCATACCTAAGTGCAGTTTAAAGAATCTCTCCAATGGGTATTATTTCCCGTTGATACAAAATGACCGTTAGGAAGGGTTTGGAATTAGGGTGCTTAAATTCCAACCAAACGCACTCGAGAGAACTGTCATTATCTACCATTAAGTCGCTTCGATATTGAAAGTTAATTGAATTAGGGATATAAATTAGAATACCTCCACCGGAGGCATAAGTTCGATCGTTTCTAATAAGGTTAAACTCTCCAATCTGCAATTCTGCATCAGACCAGCTAGCATTTAAATGAGTTTCAGAGAAGAGAATATGATATTGTTTTTATTTCGATCCCTAATAGATTCAGAAATCATGAGTCTGACTTGGTCCAGTTTATTTGTAATAGCCTGAATGTTTAATGGAAAAAACTTAGGCCTTTCGTAGGAATTTGAGTAAAGGGATTATCGTTTAGATTGATATTTGGCATGGGTTGGTTGGAATTCAAGCTGTTTAAAATATGTAATCTAGTATTACTAAAAGTGCCGAATAAAGTTAATTAAGTTCCTAGCCATAAGGTCACTACCAGAAAGATTAAGGTATAAACCATATCTATCCAGGCCTCTCTCATCAATGTTTTCGTGTTTTATTAAGTTTAAGTTTCTGGCTTCACAGAGACCTTGAAGCAGGTTGTTCAGTTGAGTAACTTTGTCTTTAATACCAGGGCCGGTTGTTTAAAATCTGGTGAGCTTAAACCTGGGTTAAAGCAAATCTTTTATATTAATTTTTTTATTCTTTTGTTTACAAAGTTGAATATCTTTTTTCAAATATTTTCTGCACTGATAGAAGTAATATTTTCTAAAGTTTTAAAATGAACAGTGGTTCAGAAGCACATAAACTAAAACACTGGATTGAAATTTAATCCAGGGTTAGCGCTAACCCAATTTTGAACAACTGGCCACAGGGCTATTAGTTCTAGTAATTTTTTAGGAAAGTGAAATGTCAGTTTTAGGGCAGATTTTATAGATTTCGTCGCAGAGCTTGGAGATGTTTTTAGTAATAGTATTTACCTCCATGGTTCCAGCATGTACAATAATTTGTGCTGGTGGAAGGCGTAGACTTTTGCGTAGTCCATCATGTCAGTTACTGTCGCTCCGGGAAACGTTGAATAGTCACATTCTTGCAAGTTGACCTTCTCATGTTCTTTGTGTTGATACCTCTTGTCATAGAGTCACCCAGGATAACTGTGAGATTCGTCCCATCGTGTCTAGGGGGCTCACGGGATTTGTAAGTATTCGTTGGGTTATGTGATGGAATGGTTGCTGACATTGCGGCTGATTTTGCTGTTGAGTTTGGTTTAGTGAGGAGTGAGAAGTGTCGTTGTCTGGGCGTGATTGATGATATTGTTGTTGCTGCTGCTGCTGGTCTTGATGAAACTGATTTTGCTGTATGAGTTTATGCTGCTGGGGTTGTTGCTGCTGTTGCTGGGGTATATGTTGAGTTTGTTGTGGCTGAGTAATTTGCCGTTGAGGTAGATGTTGAGTTATCTGTGGCTACGAAAATTGCTGCTGCTGGTTTTGTTGAAGGTGATTCGGCTGTATTCGTAATCTCGTGAGATTACGCTGCTGGACTTGTTGCTGCTGTTGTTGGGGTATATGTTAAGTTTGTTGTAGCTGGGGAATTTGCCGTTGCTGATCTTTTAGCAGCTGATTCTGCTGCGTGAGGTTACACCGCTGGGGCCGGTTGTTCAAAGCTATGTTAGCGCTAAACCAGGGTTAAATTATATTCAAGAGTTTTAGTTTATGTGCTTTAGAACCACCGTTTTAAACGTTTAGAAAATATGACTTCTATCGGTCCTGAAATTATTATTTTGTACTTGAAAATTGATTATTAAAAAATTAATGTAAAGATTTGCTTTAATCCAGGGTTAAGGTAACCGGCTTTTGAACAACCGGCCCCTGGGGTTGTTGCTGCTGTTGCGGGGGTAGATGTTGTTGATGATATTGTTGTTCCAGCTGATGGAGATATAGTGGGCTATGTGTATTATACCAGTATGTTGATAGCATGTATTAGTATGTAAATGAGCTAGTTGTTGTTGCTAGAATTGAATAGTATTTTGATTTTCTACATAGTATAGTCTTACAATTATTCGTTATTAAGTTCTTTTGTCTTTGTGTCCAGATTGCATATTAAGGATGACTGATCGTTGATTTTGTTCTTTAATCGTGAATTTTTTTCCTTGAGAGATAGGTTTTCATTTAAAGAACGAGATGCTCTAAATTCAGTTGATAATTCATTCAGTGACTGCTCTATTGATTAATCGCTAGCCGAACATCCTGAGACTTGCTCGATTACACATGACTTTACTTGCTCGTCTCCTCGTCGTATCTCGCCCGTGATTATTTCAAAATAGTAATCAGCATTAAGTAAGATGTCAGTAAGATGTCGATATCTTACACAGAATCGCTATCGTTAAACAGACCTTCATCAGCAAGTTCCAGTCCTTGCAGGTGTGCATGTCAGTCAAGATCAAGCGTTGTGAAAAGGGGCGAGCAAATTTTAGAATAACAGAGTGCTGCAATTTCAATGCCCTTCAATTTCCCTTGCAATTCTACGCGTACTCGGTCGCATCGTTTCTTGATAAATCTATCATCTCCGAACGTATTCAAGTTCAAAACTTAAGTTTTTTCCGAGCTAAGACCAAGCCTTCCTTTCAAAGATTTGTGACATATGATCGCTGACTCCCGCTGTCCATCAAGACACGTACCGGAATTACATCATCTTCACCTTTTGAGTAGGCATGTGCTATCGCGGTTAGCAAGAAAACTTTACATTTCGCTCGAGTTGTTGCGGTTTTCGAATTTTGGCATGCAGTTATGAATGAATCTTGTCTTGCACTTGTATCAGGCTGGTCGTCTTTGGATGTCAATCTTGGATCACCGTCCTTATCTTTCCTAAGAGATTTTGACAAATTTACTACAAGCCTTTCACAAATTGATTGGTGATGGGGACCTTCACATCGACGACATCTTTTCGATGAATGACATTGGTTGGCACAGTGAACAACCTGTAGGCACACAAACCACGACGGTCTCGTCTCAAAATTTCCTTTCGCTCACTAGGTTTCACTTTTAATTCACACGAAGCCGAGTAAAGTCCCACAGTAGACACATTTAATGGCACCAAATGGTTTGCCATCCATCTCTTGAGCTGTTAGCGAGGCAGTTGCAGATGGGAAACCAGGCGGTGGTTTTATCTTCTTCTTCTCGCTGTCGGCCTTCACATGATCACTTAATTCACGAGCTTCCACTTTCTTTCGGATTATCTCTAGTAACTTTTTATCTCCCACACCTCTTTAACAGATTTCCTAGCAATCTCAAGTCGAACGACCCCGGATAATTTGGACATGACGACTTTCACCGTAATTGTGATGATTTCTCTCCAACGCATGGTGCTAACTTTAAACGTTCGTCCATGTGAGCGGAAATGATTTGTTGCAATTTCCCAAATCTTTCGCGTAATAGATTAATGGCTGATTGGTAGTTATCCGCTTTAACTGCTAGTGCCTTTATTGCTCGAAGTGCACTTCCTTCTAATAATGAAAAGAAATAATTAAACTTATCGATGTTGGTTAAATACGAATTTCGGTGCACAGCGCTCTCGAAGCTCTCCCAAAATGTTCAGTAGTTTGTAATATCTCTCTTAAAATTCGGAAGTACCAGCTTGGGTAACTTAATTGTGGGTGCTAGTCGCACTGCCGATGCGTTAGTATTTGGTGATTCTTCCACTTCCATCGATTCGTTGCTTGGTGTTTCCACTTGTGTTTGCTCGTCGTTCGATGGGCTTGTCGCCTCTTTAGCGACAACACCGGTGTTTATTTTGCTTGGTTGAGAAGTTATTGACCCAGGTTGCACTAGTATATTTCTCAATTCTTCTACTTACGTCGCTTATTCTCGAAAACTTTTCTTCTGTCTCTTCGATTTCCCGCTCGATATCATCGACTTCGCATAGCTCTAAAATTTGAGCATCGTTAAGTCGTGTTATTTTCTCGTTTGTCAACTTCGCTATTGTTCGTAATCGATCCTTGTTCGTTTCATCCCCTTAATTTAGCACTTCGCTCGCTTCTTTGGTGTATTTCGTAACAACTCCTCGACTTCTTGACCGAATAGCTCGTAACCTTTTCAGATCTTTGCCTGCTGGGTCGCTCATATTGTCGCGTAAAGTCGCGTAAACAACTTTTATAATCAATATTTTTTCGCTTTAATTATTCTTTCGTCAAAGCTAGCTGGTTCTGCACTGGCGCTAACTTTACTTGATCGCCATGATCGCCACATATCGTATCCTTTATTTTACAAAAGAACAAGTTCTGCACGTGCTTCTCTAAGTTCTGATTGGCTAACTGACTTGACGTCATCAGACTTTCGAATAATATTAACCCAACAATTTGCATCAATGTAAACATAATAAACCCTTCGTTACACGTGACAATGAAGGGACTCATTAAGGCCAGTGTTTTTCCTCAAATCTGAAGTTGGCTTGAATAATGACGGCGTAGTAACCAGTCAGTTATCGTCCCAGTCTATAAATGTCCCAGTCTGTCCCTCACTATATTACGATGGTCATTGTTGTTGCTGCTGTTGTTCTTATTGTTATTGCACATATAAACATCAGGGGCCGGTTGTTCGAAAGGTGGATAAGTCGCTATCCAACGGATAACTCGCTATCCAACGGATAAGTTTTATCCAGCGTGTGATTTGCGTTGCACGAAGCTTGGATAACTTTATCCAGCGGAAAAATTGCTATCTACCGGATAAATTTATCCAAGGTCCGGAGGTAGTTTAAATCCACTATCCAGTGGATAAATTCAAAGATACAAGGTAACACTGTAAACATTTATATAAAATAGGACAAAAATGCAATATTCCTGTTACTGTGTTTCAACAAACTAATACACATCATGATTGTATTCACTATTAAAAATGTTTTCGAAGTGCATTTTGTCGCAGCAGCGTTTCACGTTGCCTGCACATTCCGTTCCGAGCGGCGATTTTTTGGACATCCTCGCATTTATAACAGGCGGTAAATTTACTATACGCTTCTAATCAGTTTATAAACGCGAATATGCAAAGAAAGATTCAACCTATTCCAAGGAAACTTGCTAATATCTAAGTATTTTCATTCACGAACATTAAAATAGTGTTCCTAAATTTGCTATGGAACCAAAAGGCAAAGCGTTGCAAGGTCAAGGACAAGGAATAAAATTGCAATGTGTTTAATTAACAAAATCACTATGATGTGAAGTGCAAAGTTCGAGCAAATCACTTGTTCAAGTCTTTTTCATTCAGTAACTATACTCGAGAATTCGTAAATGCTTAGCAACAGCTGACGTTGTGGTACGAAATTTCAGGATAATCCTGTTTTCTTCCGGTAAATTTTAACTTATCTATTGGATAGCTATCCACTTCACTATCCACGCTTCGTGCAACGCGTTTTTATCCAATGGATAATTAACCACTGAATAGCAGTTTTATCCGGTGGATAGGACTTATCCGTTGGATAAGTTATCCATCTTTCGAACAACCGGCCCCAGGTACATTTGTCCATAAATGAGATAAAAAATAAAACGATAATATAATGCGTTTGTACGGAGAATATATTTCCAGGCAGAAGCGTTCGCTCTTATGGGCTACCATAGTGCTGATACTGCACTTTAATGTAAAGGTTTCCAAGCAACAAATATAAAATTTGTGTACCAAAGACAATCAGCTGACTCACAGGACCAATTCATACCTCATGTGGCGACATGGGCCCTGCGAACGCTCGAACTTTGTATGTTGGTTCCCCAGGACTTTTTACACCCACGGCTTCTTCAAATTTCATATGACAACTCGGAGACCACGGAGCTCCAACTTTTGGAGGCGCGCAGTTGTCATCTGAACGTAGAATAGGCACGCAGACGCTTTCTGATAAACAAAATTAAATTGACTAAATTAATTAGATTGTTTGGCTACTATAAGATCTCTGGAACAAGATGTTTCTTCAACATCGGTTTTTCAAACACCATGTTAGGGAAAATTTTCCGTCTCAGTGACCAAAAGTCACATCTTCGGCGTTCATGAACAAACCGATAAACGATACTTATTTTAAAAAATTCACAACCTCTGATTGGCTGATTGCTAAATCTTTGCTTTCGATAGTGCAATTAATCTTTAAAAATGTAAACGTCACTTTTTATCAAAGTTTGCGTGATATGTTTTCTCGCACAAAGATTGCACGTGCCTCTGCATATAACAAATACATGCACGTGGTGTTTCTATACATATTGATGATTTAATCTATAAAAATTAAATATGGTTAATAATGTAGATTGACTCTTCTTAATTTCCTAATTTCTTTTCTTTGCAAAGCTGTTTAAGAAAAGTACGAAACTAGGGATCCAAGGATAGTGCAAAGTTTCAGCGCCCTCCATATACCTAGTCCCAGGCAACCAGATGTCTGTCGCAACATACAGGATTTTGACTTTTGCCACTAAAAATCTAAAGAAGCAAGTTAAACACAACCCCAAATCAAACGTGATCAAACGGAGGTTTCATTGCTAATATTACAATTGCTCAATACAACACTACAAAAGGATATGGCAAAATTTGTATGCTTCCTCATAGCAGGGTCGAAGTTTTCAATATATGATCTCGCTCGCAATTTTAACCGTGGTGTATGTATATTATATAAAATGCGATTCTTCTAGTTCTAGTTATATATTTGTGAATCGATTGTAATAAGATTAAAATCAATATTCTTAGTTAAAATTTACCGGTGTATATTATATGCCAGGGGCCGTAAGTCGCTATCCAACGGATAACTCGCTATCCAACGGATAAGTTTTATCCAGCGTGTGATTTGCGTTGCACGAAGCTTGGATAACTTTATCCAGCGGATAAAAGTCGCTATCTACTGGATAAATTTATCCAAGGTCTGGAGGTAGTTTAAATCCACTATCCAGTAGAGAAATTCGAAGATACAAGATAACACTGTAAAGATTCACGATAAAATGACCTATCAGGACAAAATGCAATACTCTTGTCCTTTCCAGTAATTATTCGAAAATTCATAATGATTATGAATTCAATGTTATTTAAGGGGGTTAGAGACTGTTGTGAGTGTTTGTTCACAAATAAACGCATGCGCTGTATATATATATATATATATATATATGATATATGATGTGGATGCTTCGACGCGTAAAACGATAGAATGTTTAGAAACTCTATTAGGATTACAAAAATTACTGCTATACCAGTATTTTACATTGTGGTCCACGATACAAAGCAATATACTTATGATCAATACTGTATACCGCCAATATGATTTGAATATCAGGTATCAACATATACACGAACTGCTCGCTAACTCGAACTAAATCCAATTCCCCTTGAATTTGACAGTGTTTTTAAAAGTAATTTACTCCGCTTAACTCGAACTCACTTAACTCGAACTCCTCGCTAATTCGAACAAATTTTATTTTCCCTTGGTCAAATATATCCGGTTAACTCGAACTTTAGTTTCGAATCAAAGATCAGCAAACTTTAAAATGTGAGAAGAATTTACTGGAAACTATCGAAATAACAACAAGTTAATGAAAATGTACACTGGCGGTCAAAAAGAGCTGCTCAAATGTTGCTATTGTCGTATGTAACAGGAATCGTGACAATCTATCTTTTATTGTACACTATAGCGGTCAAAAAGAACTGTTTAGATGCAAATTCATAAAGAAGAAGCGAATATAGGAGAGAGCTTCATAGGCATTTTGGATAATTCTGATATTCCAAGAAATATTTCAGTAATGTAATGCAACCTGCTACACTTCCAAGATTGGCCTACACAATCAAAATACCTTAACCCTATTGAAAATCTGTGGGACAATGTCAAGGGATAGTGCAAGGAAGGAATTAATTCATAAAGCATCCATGATTTATGGCTTGCTGTAAACACAGTCCATAGGATGAATTTCTTTTGACCGCTCACGATTACCACCTTAACAAAAAGTATGCCACGCCGGTGTAAGGCCGTCATCAATTGTAAGGCCAAAGGAGGGTCAACAAAATATTAATATTTCAAATAGCTTAGCATGTAATCTAGTCTATATTTACTCGTATATATTGTTAGAGGGACGGTTACGTTCATTTGAGAACATTTAGACTTGTTTTGAGCAGTTCTTTTTGACCAGCAGTGTATAATTGATTTTAAATTTCAAGATTTTCTGTAGTGCCACGGTCGTTATTGATCTAGCTTTTTTGGTTCCTTTTGTATTCTTTCGATCTTTTTAATTTTAAAACGTCGTCCACTCTTGGCGACCATTCATATTGGTAGACCTGATATCCTTTGAAGAATGATTCGATTGAATTTATACCTTATTGTATTACTTATATAACCAGGGAGCAGCGTGGCAGCGTCTTCAAACAACTTAGCATCAAATAAGGTATAACAACTGCCTAAATTAGACAAAACACTTCGTCTAGTATGACTCTCCTGACGAAGGCCGAAAGGACGAAACGTCGAGAAGTGTTTTGTCTAATTTAGGCAGTTGTTATACCACATTTGATGCCAAGTTATTGTATTACTTATAATAAACGTAATCTGGCACCAACTCCGGTTAACTCGAACCCCCGGTAACTCGAACATTTTTTCCTTCACCTTGGAAGTTCGAGTTAGCGAGGGACTACTGTACATTCACATTCACGTAAGAGATCCATCTATGCATAAACAACACAGAGTCGTTTCTTCCTAACCTCTTGGTTCCGTAATTGTGCAAATTATATTTGTGTAAAATCGAATGCTCGTAATTCATAACATGTGTTTATAAATTACGTCCTCAAATAATTGAGTTTGATTTTTGCGCCCGAAATGTTTCAAGAAACACTAATCCCTCCTGCATAGTTTCTTTACATCGCGAATACTGATCAAGGGCAAGGCCGGACGGCACATGCGCAGTTGCGACGCATAAAAAAACGGGTGTTACGGGGAACAAATCGTTTAAAACAAAACCCACACCACGGAAAAGCAATGTTTCAAAATTTACAGTAACGGCCGAGACTCTTCAATATTTCTGTGAACTTAGCCAAACGGATAGAGAATTAATTAAGAGAATTAAGTTAAAAAATTACTTTGATACAAATGAAAGCGATAACAAATTTATTTTATTAGAACGACGTTTCGATGTCATCTTTACATCATTTCAAGTTCAATTAGAGTTCGTTATTACTTAGTGTTCGTATTACGGTTCATGACGCTAGCATATAATTACGTTAGATCACGCATAAAGTTACGCACGAAAATGTGATAACAAGTACGATCGTACTATAGTGGACCAGGAACTGCGTGACCGAGTTTCTGAACTGCATTGTATTTACAACAGTAGAGAGGACAATGTATTTCTAATCGTTTGCGTATTCTTATATATTGGCTGAATATTAATGATATATAGGCTGAATATTAATGATATGTATATTATTTGCTGCACATATAGTCAAGAATTCCTTGTAACTTGCTTCAACGGTCAAAAGTAAAAATTCGAACTCCGTCAATCGATGCGGAATATTGCTTAGAATAATTGTGCCAAGTTTCATTCCGATCAAACAAGTAATGATAGAGCCTTAGGGTTTTTTAAAGAGCGTCGCCCCCTAACAAGAAGAAGAAGAAGAAGAAGATTAGCAAAAATGAATTTTAAGGTGGCTCGATACAGTATATTTAGTTGCGCTCTTGCGCGTGGAAACATTAATAGCCTCGCGAGAAATTGGACGCGCGTGTGTAACCCGCTCGCGGGAAATTTAAATGCCAAGCAAAACAAACATGGCAGATTTAAAGATTTAAAATTGGAGGTCACCGTGCTTCTTTTCCAACTGTCCGAGGCAATTGGTCATTTTGGAGTGAATTTTGTACACGTATGTTGCCATAGCAACGGACAATCTGTTACTAAAACTAAGACGATTCAAAAGTAGAGACACCAAAATATATAAAAACCCCAATATCTCTGGAATAAATCACAAAAATCCGTTGTTTGAACGTGTCAAAGTGATCAACAATGGAATTTTTGAAAACTGCATCGAGCCACCTTAAGCATAATATGAAATTACTAATTTTACTTTTACAAATATAACAGTAAATACATATACAACAATTAAATAAGGTTATTCGTATGAGTCCAACTGCGTATTCAGACTGGGCTTGTGTTCATTGATGTAAAGCATTCATATAAGAGACAATCATACTTCCCTTGCCATTTAAATACGCAAAACCGAAAAACAGCTCGTGATTCTCTCGACATCTTTGCCATGAGATTTCTTGACATGTGCTCCAATCACTAAATGCTTGTGCACATCAATTCGTTGATGCAGATGACGACTCGTGTATCCTATATAATCTGCGTCACACAGATCACATTTGAATTGGTAGACAACGTTTTGCTTGTTGACTAATGGCGGTTTTGCTTCAGAAAATACAAGATCATCCCGAATTTTTTTGCTTTTGTAGGCGGGTTCAATTTTCATGCCGATTAGATTCTTCACTATTTCTGCTGACTTCTGATCTTTAAATGACAGGGCAATACGCACGACATCCTCTGATGGTCTAGCATTCGGGCTCTTGGTTTGCTGCTTTATAATGCTTGTCAAATAAGGTGAAATGTGGCGTCAACCTGTGGAGGATATTTAAGCCGATCGAAGAGCGTCTTCAACCGTTCACATTCTTTGGTAAAGTGCTCCCTGGATGAAGGAAGACGAAAAGCTCGGTACAATATGGTTGTGATAAGAGAACGTTTATACCTCTTATTAACATGGCTATGATAATGAAGCAAGAGGCCACTGTTAGTTGGCTTAATGTAAACCTTGCTTTCAAGTCGGCCATCCTTCCTCATCACTTCCATTCCGAGAAAGGGTAATTCACCTTCGACCTCGACTTCCATGGTGCA